CAACATTTTCGAAAAAAGAAACCGATTAAGAACTTATAGGTACTGTAAAAAAAGTTGGTTCTCATTTGAGAATAAGACTTTGTAGGTACCTATCATCACTGGACACTCTTGAATAATTGGTAAAAAAAATCCAAGCATTTAAAAATATGGTTCTTAAGTATACTAAAAACTTTTAAAAATTACAATTTAAATATATGCATTATTAAAAGGATGAAATTGGGGGAGGGGAGTTGAGTATGGTTGCTGAATACACATAGCCAATTTTATTTTTTTCTCCCACTTTATTCGTTAAGTTTTTGTCGTCCTTGAGTGAGTAAAATTGGGCGGGAATCATCTGCACCAAAAGATATTTAGACGAGAGATAAGGATTTTTTATTTTTAATCTGATACTACGAATTGTGTATAATACAGAAAAATATTATAATTCCATATTTCGTTGTTGTGGAGTGTATTGTTTTTACAAAACTTTTTAAAAGTATTATCGTTATCAATGTGTGGGGCTAAAAGTTTATGGACTTTTTTTCATTCCATTATATTTTAACGTTTCAACGTAGTTGTCCGGTTCACAGTTCTACAGTTTCAGCCGAGCAAAGTAGGTCTTTTCAAAAAATAAATATTTTTTTTTAAGATAGGGTTATATTATTATACACTGCAGATGGTTGTTATCTCTGTTTTAAATTTATGACTATTATCAGCATGGGCTTGTATTTGCTTTGTTATACTTGTGTGTGTTACACAGAGCCGCAGAGAGACGTAGATAACGAACATAATATGTCGGTTTGACGTTCAACGAGTACAAATAAATAATAATAATAATAATAATAATTATTATTATTATTATAGGTATAGCTTGAATCAAATGTAAAAAAATATAGTTGAATTTAAAATATATACTATATCTTAAAGGGTGAACATAAATTCATTTTTTGTTGGAAAAATAACTGAATTTAGGAAATATGTATTTAAATTTACATCCCTATAATATTCTACCGGTTGGTGGACCTTTCAGAGATATTTTATACATTCTCGTGACAGCGAGTTCCTTATAAGTTAAGTTTAATTGTGTATTTGTGTTGCCACACATTTTACTAACCAAAACAATTTTACTATAAGTCGTAAACTTGTCGGTGGCTTCCCCCCCCCCAAAAAAAAAAATAAGATATGTTTTAAAAGGAAAGTATAAATTAATAAATAAATATTTTTTTTAAGATCAAACATTATAATTTAAATATATTAATTATTATATTTTAAATTATTTATTAACTTATTATCAACGTTTATTTTGATATGCTTCTTTCATAAAATACATTTTTTTTTTAAATATACAAGCTATAGATATACATAAATCTTATATAATAGGTACATTAATTAATACCTATATAATTGGATTTGAGATTAATTAATTTACAAGAAATATCTAAGCAACTGGAGAGAGACCATCCGTTGACGGAATTCCTTTTATAATAGGTATTTAATATACAAATGTATATATGATTTATTATTATAATAAGCAGTATCCCAAATAATATTTTCATATAGGTATATTCACTGTAAAATGTAAACTTTATCAATTATTATATGATATTATTTTGGTGATTTTCTCTAAAATATAGTATTTCTTCACATTTAATTAGAATGTCCCTATATTATGTACGAATGACCACGCCAATCCATTATACCGTTCGCATTTTTTTTATTAATTATTTCATATTGAATACATAACAACATTCAATAATATAAAAAACGAATTTGAGGAATCAAAATACCCCACTGCAAATTACTGGACTTAACCTATGTATTAACATTTTTTAGTTATTTTGACAAAAATATATTTTAGATTATAATATCTTCCGATACGTTTTTGAACTACTCAATGGAACTTTTTACCTTAAGAAATACAAATTAATTTACATAATTCATAGTATTCATATTGTTATAATAAGTTATGATCTGTAGTTATGACTTATGGTACACTAATACCTACAGTTAATCTTTAAATATAACAAAATAATGATTTCCTTGTATACATAATATTATTATGTGAGTCGTGAGTGTTTGTAATAATTTAAGCTCTGCATATTATATGCGAATTGGCGATTTAAGTAGTTCAATGTAACAAGTAACAACGATAAATAAAAATAACTGGGAAAAAATGTAAACATAATATTATTTTCATGCGTAGACGGCATTTTAATAAATCAATGCAACAATGTAGTTCATTAAACTATTTCGCTATATTATGATCATTACAATATTAGGTACTATTATTGTTATTATTATTATTTATACTCGCGACGATGTTGTAATTACTGTAATTTTTGATAAATTAAAAAACCCATCATAGTATATAGAGGTATAAAATCATGCGAGCTGGAGATAATAATATAATATCGTAAGGAGTAAGGACGGGTAATATTTATGGACAACGTACAGCATAGGTATACGATACAATATGTATAATAAATATTATAAATGCTTATTGCGTTATACTTATTATAAATAAACGATGTAAAGACTGTGCAGTTAAACGGAGAGAGAAAGATAGACAAGGAAAGAGAACGAGAGACAAAAAGTGAGAAAGGGAGAGAGACTGATCGGAGTTTTTTCTCTTAATACTATATACACCTATATATTATAAGACGTTATTATATTATATACGCGTGACTCGTAGGAGTTATGGGCTTTTAAATAAATTGTGTTGTTGAAAATTATTAATTCCTATATTATAATAATATATGTATATAGGTGCCTATAAATGGGTACTCGTTTTATTTTTTTTCATTTTCAAGAGACGTCGCGAATCCATCTCGCGACTCGGCTCCGCGGCGGCGTGCATTCGCCGAAATGCATTTTGTTATTATTTTACAGATCATCGCCAAAGGGCCCACCGTGTTGGCCAGTTAAATTGATTTCTTGGCTCGAGATTTATGGTTCTTCGCAAAACGATGGGAAAATCTATGGCGGCGGCCATGCCTGTGGCGCCTGAAAATCGTGAGAATAAGGTGTCTGGGGGGACTAATAGAGATTAATAACAATAAGTGCCAGTGGTGTATTGTTAAATACATTAATTATATACATGCGATATGTATAGGTAAGTACGTGCCTTAAAACGTTTAATTACTCAAAAGAATATCATAAAACCGTGTACCTACCTAAATATAAGGAAAATTAAGCGATAAGACACGTTTAATATAATAATAATAAAAAAAATGCTTTCTTTCGCTTTATACCTAATATATATTATTGTTATATTTACCTACTGCACAGAAACAGAAATCCGTCGTTGGCAACGCTGTATAGATATCCTAAAATGGAGTTGATCCGGTGGCGAAAGTGCGCAAATATACGCCCATCTGACGAAAAATAATTATTTATAACCATAATAATTTTTCATCGTCTTTGTGGCGATAATATATCCGCTTTTAGCGACGTGGTGTTCACTGCATAAATAAAGGTAGGTAATAATAATACAGCAATCGTTATTGTAATCTATATGTGTTATACACCGTAGCGTATTCATGATATTAATAAAAATAATAATATAATATAAACCATCACTAATTCCTGAGTAAGTGTACAGGATAAATATCTAGTATAATTAGTGATTATCCGCAGCAGACCTAGATTTAGCCGCTTCAGCCGTCTGCCAGACTCCTCCCGGGTTATGGCACATTATCATCCCGAGGTTATGGAAAATCCAAATACGGAAGTCCCACGAAACCGGTGCTCACCGAGGCTGAGGTTCTATTAAAATTGTATAACAATCAGTAACTTCAGTCGGTTTAAGAGGCCTTCTCTTTTACATTTGCACCATTGTGACCACCATCATCCTGGCATCATGGCCTATAGTATACTACTAGTCACTAGCTCACCCAGTGAGAATTTTCTAACCAACAGTTGGTTGGTCCGTACAGGCTTTAGGGTATACTATAACATTCGAACTCTATTCACACCATAAATCAAAACGCGAGTAATGTACTATAGGTCTATATTATATAGTACACTAGAAAGTAAAAAAAAAACTATTTGAAAAATAAAAAGTTACGTTTGGCAGTTCACTATTAAACTTAAATGTAACAATATTTTTTTATTTTTAACTAAGTTATATTTAAGAATTTTCAAAGTATAATATCTTATACATTTGCTAGTTAGGTACTTATGTATAACTTGTTTTGATAAACATACGTAAATTCACTCTAAATTGTATTATAAAAACTTAAATTAACCATGTTATATATACCTAAACCTAAATAAGCACTATATATAGGTACTTAATAACTTATATTGTGTCAATATTAAGCTCGCTCGTACGACGTTTTTAGGGCGGTTACGATTATTATATTATTATTGTTTTCTTACAGTTTTTTTTCACCGTCAATCGTTTGTAAAGTCTTTTAAGTATAATATGCTAATATACATAATTGATTTATTTCGACGGACGGAGTCTTTGATCTCATAATGTATATAGCATGTACAATAATAATACAATTTTGTAATGTTTCTATAATATTACGATATAAATCTCGCGGCCGCCGACACCATACACTGTCTTAGGTATAATATATTATAAAAAACAATAATGACATTATCGATACAGTGTATAATAATAAAATGATGATGATGATTAACGATAATACGATATAATATTATGATTTTTTTTTTTCGTCGAATTCGTTTCGGTAAACCGTGGCGTAAATCCCGCACTTGTGAGCGGCACACGCGTGAGGAGTCAGTATTTTTTCTATACTTTATATATATCAAAAAAGTCAATTTGTAAATCTGGATTTAAGAAAAAAAAATCGGTTGTTGGTCTTTAGTAAAATAGACGGGCCCAAAATAATATAATCATGCTGGCCGATGAGTACTCACTGCTACGCGCGTCAAACCCGTCGTCTGGGAAATAATATTGATTTTCTCGACAACGGCGTAAAACGAAATCTCAAAATTCGTTCACTTACAAATTATCATCGACGTCACACATACACATATTTACAATAATCATGTCAAACTTTGAAAAAGAAAACGAAAACATCGACACCGTGATCAAGGAGGTGATGGAAGACGTCATCGCGGCAGTGGTGTCTGATTCCATCGAGGCGACCGTCCAGTCGGTGCTCCAGGACGTCCTAGCCATGGAATTTGGCTACGGAGAACATCTTCACCTGGACACTAACACCGAAAACATTATGGACAAAGATAGACGGATGGTCGCCATCGTCGATGCCAGCGACGCCTCCGTAAACGGAGAGGTTGTACTGCGGTGCGGGGATGAGGAGGACATTCAGGTAAACGGCGGTGACATCGATAAGACGACCTTCTGACCGAGGGTTCGTTTGAGGCGAGGCTCATGTTAGAGGTTCTGGACGGCAGGCTTGATCCGTTAGTTGAACCGGCAACCCACGCAGTAACTCCACGCGGGTGGATGAGGCGATTCGCGGCCGCTGCGTGGAGGGGAGTAAAACTGGCCGGGCGTGTGGTAATTTGCCTAGGTTGCAACTAGCGATGCGAAAGCGTCCGCAGAACCCGGCACTTCACCTCCGTTCCTCGGTCGAGGGCAGCAGTTAAGGCGAAGCGATTTGGGATTGTGGGGTCGAGGTAAGGTACGTGAAAGTGCACTTTTGGGGTGATCGGCGGTAAGTCACCAACACTCGTTCTTCGGCCACCGGCGGTAGGAATACGGGAAAAAAACCTCGGAGACTTTCCAGCGGCGCGTTGCGTTGCTGTCCGCCTAGACTCTCTCCTTTTTTCGACCAGATGTAAAAAATGTACCTAGCTTACATCTCTGGGAAAATATAACAAGTTATTGATGGTTATAAAATATTATTATGTCATAACCATATTATAGAGCTCGAGCGTGGGATATCATTAAGTAATGAAAACTAGTGTACGGAAAACGTATACTAATAATAATACGTTAATTAATTTTCCAGCCAGCACCGCTGCCTGCTAATTATTATCGTTTTGCGCGATAATTCCACGCTGGATCGGCGAGTGTACCTACGCTTAGCCAAGTAATAATACACCTATACACAATATATATATTTACGGATTTCACATAATAATAATATTATAATACCCATGTGGCCATGTGCGCGCAATTTATACATACACGCACTAATTGGACGCAATCGTTGTGCGAGCAACGGCCGAGTCGGATTAATCTTTATTGCTCGATAGTTTCCCGGCGATAAATTAACGCGACCGCTTAACACGAATCGCGTACAACGGCGTAGTATTATCGTACGACGTCGTCTTTAGGTACACATTATTATAATATTATATTATACCCGTGGCAGACGTGTCGCATTAACGGACAATAATTAAAATCGTGTTTATTTCTCGTAAAACCACGCGATGTATACTGTCGATTGTATTTTATTATTATAATGCCAACTACAAAATACGAGCAGCAGCGTGTTGTGTATACGGCGTGCACGAGTCTTCGCTGACTTCGCTTCGCCTGCCGCGGAGACGGTGACTTTTGCATAACCGCGGCTGACACTCTCAAAGTAATGTTCCGAGTAAACATTTGCGAACAAATTAAAAGCAATTACTTTTTGTAATGTGCGTAATACATTTCAGTCAAAAGTCATAGAAGTAAATAGGTATATAAGTACTTCAACTAATACGCGTACAAATACGCTATATATACATATAACCTACACATAATGTTTACATTTATGTGGCAGAATAATGGTTAACAGTGTAAACGGCAACCCTATTATATGCATTCAAATCGTCATTCGACATAGGTATATTATTATTAGGTATACACATACGTATTATAGGTAGGTACCTTATACTTACTCAAGCAGAACATACATTTGTCTGAAAATGATAAAACGTTCACGATGAAAACGTTGATCATTGAACTCGTGCTATATATTATATACCTGTATTATAACCGATTTATATGATAATATGGTCTGATATTTGTGAGCATTTGGAGATGTTTAATGGTGAGTGGGATTGTAGTGTCTTGTGTGTGCAGATGAGGAGGGGGTGCACGCGAATTTCAATTGTGCTATTTCCATTCATCAACACCGAACACGACCCGATGAACGCGTGTCATCGATTTACTTAAACCCGTCGATTGCTGGTTCAACGATTTGTCAACATACATTTTAACGATAGTTACATTTTACGTAAGTGTTACACAAATATTGGTGGTAATTCTTCAAAAAGTGTGCGAGCCTGCCTTTCATTCATGCTACTATGCACGGCCTCGTGCTCGTGATTTGCACTTTCGAGACGACGTAGGTTTAAAATAATATATAATATTGTACACACACAATTACTCACGTGTGCCTGTATATATAGGTACTGTAATATTTGTACTCGAAAAATAAATGTCCACCGAATTTGTGTTAAAATATCCATGTTATATATACACCTATACAATATACCACAATATGAACCTACGCATATAATATTGTGTACAGAGCGTGCACACTATTAAGGATTGCGTCGCACGTGACTTCGCGACATTCGTCCGGGACGTGGAAAGGAGGTTACATAAAGGTTATATTATTATATTATTCTAAATCTTTGTGTAGGCAATTATAGGTAAGACTATTCTCTGTATAATACGAATTAAAGTAAATTATAATAGTAGCGTTCTATAAAATGTGACAAAAATGTCTTCGCCGGTTATCAATAATAACAATTATATAATTATGACATACCTATAATGTAACAAACTCGAGGCGTGAACTCATAATGAAATTGTAGTATACGACACAGACTATAATTTTATTAAAATACAGATAAGAAACGAGTATTATTAGATGTTCTGCCCTAAAACAAAACACTTTCGGCTGTCCTTTATTTGCCATTAGTTACAGGTCATGTTACTTATAGACTATTATAATTAGTAAATACATTATGGGCATATTAAAATGTTTACAAATATGATTTTTTTTTTTTAAAAGGTGGGCAAGTGGGTGTTGCTCTGCTGCACAATAGGTTACAAGTGGGTCACTGTAATGGATGGTGTTAAATTTGAATTCAATGAAATAATATCATTGTATACGAAAAACAATTCTGAGCGAAGACTGTCAGTCGACATATATTAGTATATTATAGTAATTATATTTAAAGATAATATTATTGTGAATAAAGTAATTTATTAACCTATTTACCTTGGAACCTTGTTTTAATTTCCAATCCTTAACTATAAAAATTTTTTAAAAATTTTTACTACAAAATTATTTTGAAATTTTGTCAACATTCGAACTTTAAATGGTTATAAAAAAAATTTTTTGCTTATATATATTTTTAATATTCTTCATTGCTGTTTTAACAATATATCAAGATACTCGTATTCATTTTCATGTTCTTTTACTCAACAAATAAAATTCTATTGACATTTATAGAAAAAAATTAAAAAAACTGGAAACTGAAAATGTCCGTAAACCGCTCAAAATATTTCGAAAATGTATGCACGTCGGCTTTTAAAAATTCGTTAAATCTGTCTCCAGTATTTTGTGTTTCCATAAAAAAAAACGTGCCCAGAATTAAGCAGTGGAAAATCATAAAATTAATTATTGTAATTGGTTTGTATTATATTATATTTTAACTGAAGTAAAGCAGAAAACTATAGAAATAAAGATGATTAATTTTAACCCGGGTGAAGTAAGGTAATACGGCTAGTATATTAATATATTATAATATAGAGTATAAATTAGATACGTAAATAACGTATTTATAAGTTGGTGAATAAACGGGGCAGTGGTCGTTTTGGCGAAGGTTATAATTTTAACCAAAAAATTAATATTCCGTTTGTGAATTTAATTTTACCTACGTAAGATAAAACCCTGGCTACTTTGATGTGAAGGTTTTTAAAAATAGTGTTTATTATTTAACTAAATTTAGTGCATTATTACTTACTAGTATAGTAGTATACAATATATAAATTAATTTGCCTATAAACTTATTTGTTTATTTTTTTTACTTATTCACCCAAAAAGACCACATTTTGGGTCTATTCGCCCTAACGGTCTACTCCCAGAAATAAAAAAAACGGGATCTGATGGCAATATTGAGGTAAATTTTACACTGAAAAATTAATAGTTAAGTACCTATAGTCAACATACTTGACAATAGGTAAATTATCTTTGAAACCCAATTCGTTCTCAGTGTGATACAAAAAAAAAAGAGATGATAAAAGCGTAGGTACATATTAATAACTTAATACTCTGTGATTTAATATAATATACTGTGACGAGGTACACGCTTCTTGATGTACAAAATATTATAATGACACTTCACGTCATTCGTCTATGCATCCCGAGTGTTGAATTGTGACATACCTCATATCATGCATCATCGCTTGTTTCTCAACCCATCCGTGTAAGCATACGCAACCACTTGGCTTAACTACAATATATATTTCAAATTTCCACCACTTCATACTTATTAATATAACATTTCAACTTCCTCGGGTGTTTGAACATGATTTTTGGCCAAATATAACACATTATTACATGAACAATGAACTGCAGCTTCAGAACATAATATAGTATAGATATATGAAAAGTTTAATAAAATGTTAACAATTTTTCTTATTACGAGTTTTGACGAAAATATATTAAACCCTTTTTAGAAATCACGAGAAGACATAAAGACGTAAAAACGCCCCCAAATAGAATTGCCTATTCACTCAAATGAGAGATTGAACATTTAATTATTTTTATGTTTTTAAACACATTAGTTTGGTAATTTCAAAGTGGTCACGTAATATACACTTATAGTACACGGATTACTGAGCCACATGTTTGAGACCGCTTATACCATCATACCATATTTACTGCTGGTAGCCGGTTGCTTCATGATAATTAAAAAAAATATATTATGTAGTTTGTTATAAAATTGATTTTATTTTAAACATTTTATTATAGTATGACATAGACACGTGGCATTTTTAACAAACAGAGGAGTACCTCCTAATCAAGTATATAATATACCGTTTCAATATTAGTTCAAAATAGGTACTGATGGAATGCGTGCAAATGTACCTATATAGTATAGATAGACATCCATTGAACTGACGCCAGAAGTCTCAGATTAGGTCAGAACATCAGAATATTGTTGTTTTTTTTTAGTGCGATATGATTTATCGCCTATATTGTTTTAAAAACGTTTCATCACTGAATCCTGCTATATCATCGGTTTAAGCGAAACGATAGTTATGCAACCATGTGGCATCCGGCCTCTGCATTATTTTTTTTCTGTTTGCATAATGTAGTTATATATATATTTCTTTTTTTGCCACGGATCTATGTGTGGTTTACGTTACAACTGCCGTCTGTAACACTTTTAATTATGTCAGTCCGAGATTATTATTGTAATAATTGTACCGCCACCGAAGGCCTTTGATTAACCGCGATATTTACGTCGTCACTACCACGCGGCGTAGATAAGGCTGACAGATAAAATAAGGACGGGCACGCTGCCACCGCCGCCACACATTACTCGCTGGGTCGTCTTCGGTATATCTGTTACGCACGTTCACACAGATTTAATATGGGTAATTGGTAGGTAAATAATTCTATAACAATATAAATCTGAAAAATTTATCGCAAAGCTCCATTCGATCTTTGTGCATAATTTTATTTTTAAACGATTATATTATACTGCTGTGCTGAGAACGGATAGAATAGATCTAGCCTACACAACAACTCCCGTTGGGTGGACATATTTTTCAATGGCCATTGCGGAAAGCCTTAAACAGATTAAAAGCCCGGGTGGCGCGAGGACTAAAGATAACATGGTAAAATGGGGCTTTAATGGAGAAGGTGAAACTTGTGATTGTGTGGAGAACGACAGACCGATGAACACCTTTTGTCACGAGTCCAGCACAATGAACCAAAGAAGATCTGATTTTGACAAACAAAAATCCTCTAGAAGTGGCTACTTACTGGCTGCAACAAAACATATAGAACGTTACCGAAAAATGTGATTTTGTTAGATGTACCAATTTTATTTATTTATTTTTATTATCTAAGTTACCTGTATTTTATTTTACTATAAATTATTAATAAAATTGTTAATGGCATTTTATGTTGGGACCCGACAAGAAGACGAAGAATGGATAGTAATAATAATAGTACACTATAAGTCGCTATAATATAATGTAATAAGTGGCGTATTTAGGCTGGAGACCATTAGAGCCAAGGCTTCGGAAGTCCCCAAGGTGTGTTCAAATGGCCCTGGACTACATAACTTGTACCTATCATTAAAAAAAAAAAATGCCTTGTCAAGTTTGCTCAAACGAAAGCTGGAAGAGCACATTTTTAGTGCACTGCAGTATAATACCCATATACAATGTTATTTATTCTAATATTTGTATATTAATAATAGAATATTATTATTATTATTATTTGTTTTATATTAAGTTTCTATAACGTCAGACCATAACTATATTATAGTTTACTACCATGATTGAATTTATATGTTTAAAGGAGGCTTCCACTAGTAACTACCAACAGACCCTAGGGTCAACAAGTTTCACACTAGGCCACTGAATACTATAATATTATGTATAGTAAATAAGCAAATAAAAATATATGTAAGAGTTCGTGCGTGTGTGTGTGTGTGTGTGAGTAGGTATAACCGATTTAATGACTCGTGAGAGATATCACACGTATACATAATATATATTATTATATGATAAGCCAAAGTTGTCGCGACACCACAAGCGAACGAGCTCCAGGGCCAGTATTTAGACATGCATAAAATAGCCTATACAGTGCACACATACCTCACGTATAGGTATTATAGGTTTATATAGGGACTAGTAACTCGTTTGTATGTGTTTTGATACGCGTGTACACGCACACTTGTGACTGTGATCGATGAGATGGACGGTGGCTATATGAGAGTCTGAGACCGAAAAAGAAAACATTATGCGAGTACCAAATTGATACTACCAATATACTCCGTATGTCTCCGTGTACACTGCACGACTCCAATCACCTGCAATATTATAATATTCCTTGCACCTTACATCCAGCCCATCCAGGTGTAATGTAATTGGTGATCAGTTAGATATGAGACGAAGGTATATCGTAATGATAATAATGCGCACGTAAACAAAGATATTAGCGATTTCTAGCGACTCCTTTGGCCGTTTAAAAAGTAACATTAAGGAGTAAAATATTACAATCGTTCGCATTATATTAATTATATACCAACATTTTTTGCTCTAAACTAATCTAGCCATAATCCCATAATCTAATCTAAAAACACAACAAATGAATTTTGTCAAAACACCATAATACCAATTATCAACTAGGATATAAAAGAAAAAGCGATAATTATTATTCAGTGTGGCACGCAATTTGTGAATTTTCTTACGTTTATTTTTCCAAATTATTGTCAAGGGGGCTGGCTCATTGTGCGTTCTATAATAATATATCATCTGCAGCGTTATAATTATTATTACAATATAACAATCGTAAGTTGTAGCTTAGCGACAGTGTCACGACGACGACGAACAAACGACCTCGTACCGCGTTCGTCCAGTTTCAAACCCACTCGGTCATCCGATCCTGTACGGGTTCCTAAGTATAATAATATTATTATGTAGAAATTGTATTTATTATACGGATTATGGCTGCCGGTCCCGCAGTTCTGTTAAACATTATACGGTCGCGTATATAATGACTAATGAGTGATATTTTTTTCCCCCACGTATTATAGTCGCACTAAGATTTCATTATTACCGTCATACGAGCGTAATAATGAATAATATTATTGTATAATAAAGCGTATGTACAGATCATTTATAATCTCCGTCACGGGACCACATCAATCGGAAATGGAGACATTATTATATTATTTCTTTATATTATACCTTCCTATAATCCTATTTGCACGTGGCGCGTCGGACAGGCGGTACTCTGAAGTCGTTATTGCTTATTATTATTATTATTAAAGTTCCTAACTATCATTATAATTATTGTTATTTCAGACGACTGCACCGTCGCATAATGCGTCGAGAATTCCGTCCAGAGGCGCCCGATCGTCCGCACATGTCGGACACGTATGTTTTACGTGATTTATTATACGATACAGTGATATACTACAAAACATTATATTACCTATATATGTGTGTGTGTGTGTGTGTGTGGATATTAAACGTACCTACAGCATGATTGCTGCAGTGTATACGCTCTTCGAGGATGAGGAATAGCGGTTCGCCGTCGATTTGGCGGGACGTCTTGAAGAATTACCTCGGAAGTGCGAAGAGACGACACAATTTGTATTTCGTATGCGTCCTTATCGGTCGCGTGTGTACATTTTGCATATTATGTAAATTTTTATCATATTTTTACATATTTTCTCGGGATCATAATGAGCTACCGGGCGGCGGCGTCCAGCCGGCAGCCAGACTGATCGATCAAGCTCGTAATCGATTCCGAATATACAATCGACGATATATATATACAATCCACGACGGTGTCTGAGTGGTTTGGCAGAGCATTCGGAAAATTCAACATAAATCGTACGGTGAGTAAATTATAAAATAATTTATACGTTTATTATTTTCGAGGTCACTTATTTTAATAACTGCATGCGCCACTGTTTCTCTGTTATTATTATTATTATTATTTATTAATATTGTCCGGTGGACTTCAATCAGTGTTGCAGAATTATATTTTAAGAATATAAATTGTTCTGATTGGTATATCGGTAAGTACCTACATTGTTGATTATGTTTAGGACCTTAGGTAAGGGGACCTAATTTACCCATAAAATAGTAATTTTCAAAGATGAGCTTGAGTAAATAAATACGTAGGTGTATTTAGATACACAAAGTACCTATTATTCGCGAACCCGTGATTAAAAACGGTCTTATAATGATAAGGTTAAATTATGATATCAAAGTGTCAGCTCAATGTTATGCATTAAAGTAAGTACTTCCATACTCAGATAAAAAAAAATAATTTTATAATTTGTCAATGTGGCACTGTGCAGTATGCACTTGAGGAGAACAAGGTAGGAAAGAGATTGCAATGAATATATTTATTATAATAACAATAACAACAACAACGCAATGACATCGACCCTTAACTACTTTTTGGACCAGATATAGCGAATCCATTCATAATGCTTGTTTGTGGAGATTGAAAAATAATAAATCGAACTTTTCCGATCACAGGAGGTCACGGGACGTCTATAGATCACGTGTGTTCAATATTAGATACGGTATAAACCGAGTTCCTGTGTGCGGATCATCTGGTATTATATAGTGCTGACGTATTGTAAAGTCTACCTATTGGTATAGGGTTGAACACAAGAAGTCTGATATACAATATAGCTTTATAGACAAACGAAAACTTTAACAATAATATAATACCTTTCAAACGTTGAAATTAAAATAAATCCATCAAACCATAATTAGTATTGTATTTGAACTTTAAAGCTTTATATTTTCTAATGAAAATCAAACATTCACTCAAAAATTTGTTTGCTAATTCTATGGACGGAATTCTATGGACTTTAACTACTATACACCTACAGGTTTAGTAAAAATATTTAAAAACTACCGAAGTAGTGGGATATTTATGCTTAAACCTACGGAGTATACTCGTATTTTAATATTAATTCGAAAACTAATTTAGACATTACAAACTATTATGATTTATTCAAACTGGACATTTAAAACTAAATTATTAATGACAGGTATCTCGTACATAAAGTATTCACAAATGAAATTCGACTTGTATGTATGACGGTTAATACTTATAAGTTATTAGTTATTAGATTCAACAATGTAACAGTTTGGTTATAACCCTAACATGCAGATACGTATCAGTTTTATGTTAAACCATTTGATTTCGAAATGCGAGTGAGCTGCGAGTTGCGACGGTATACCTACCATCAACACACGCGTGTTTTCTCGTTTTTCTATTAAATCGTGATTGCCCGAGCCTGTGATATATATTATAATATTATTAGTTTCGATAATTATGTATTATTCGATTTGCTAAAGTATCGGATTCATATGATTATCGTATAATAATATATAATAGATAGTATGATATTTATCATTTATGATGCGTTTATGCGAGGTACATTCTACAAGTTACATGCAGTCGGAAATATCACATCCACCAAACTTCCATCTAACTTATGGCGTACGTCATATTATAATAACATTATGTCAACTTTCGTGTGTCGTCGTCGCTGCGAGAACGTTTCACGCAAAAGTATATACATGGTTCATAAAATAATGTGTAAAAAATTATTCTATATTTCGTTCAAAACCTATACAATATTATTATATGTGCGCCCGAGGGACGTGTTTCCGTCCGATTCTTTGGAGTGATTTACATCGTCCGGCACGCGCGTGTGCAAGCAGTGATTACGTGCAATTTATCGTGTGTAAAATAAGTAATAACGATCGAGGTACATATACGTCAGGACAGAGCCGGTAAATCAATATTATTCCCATGGGCCATAATAACGCGTATTTAGCACGCTTCGAAACCGTTTTCCCGTTTTTCATTACAACTATACAGTGCGGAGTCACACAAATATTAAACAACTGCAACTATATTTAATGCATTTCCGGTTTCGCATGCCTATCTGCTATCAGCTACCTCTACCTTTTATATATTAATTATTATTTATTATAATATGTTATATCAACTGTTTGTATTAAATCGCTTATATACCTACACTTTGATTTTTTGTCAGCTGCACACACTCTGCCGACTTTTGAAATTATCGAAAACATTTTTTTTGTTTAGTTTGAAGTGGGTTGTATTAGAAAAGTTTATTAAAAAAAAAAATGTATTGTTTGATTTCATCAATAGTCTTTAAAATGATTGTGCTTTAAATAGGTAATTATGGATTTCTTAATAAAAATGTAATGTTGAAAATTATATTAGTATACAGTAATAAATGCCTACCTATATCTACGAACACTGATTAACAACTTAGCAATGTCGA